AAAGCTTTCTTCCTTCTGTGATCTCTCCATCTACCATGGAGGTTTCTATCTGTCGTTCAAAATGCTTTCCCCATCCCCTTTACTTGGTGTGTGGCCGGCTCTTGAGTTCCTTTTCCCAACAGCCAGAAGTTGAGCCAGACATCTCGCCCCTTCTCTTGGCTGGCCATCCCAACCTGCGGCAGAGGGGTGATCCTCTACAGCAGGGGTGTCCAGTCTCTTGGCTTCCCTGGGCGACACTGGAAGAAGAACTGTCTTGGGTCACACATAAAATACACGAACGCTAACAACAGCTGATGAGTTTAAAAAAAATTTTTAAAAATCACAAAAAAATCTCATGTTTTAAGAAAGTTTGCAAATTTGTGTTAGGCTACATTCAAAGCTGTCCTGAGCCTCATGCAGCCTGTGGGTGACAGATTGGACAAGCTTGCTGTAGAGTGTTGCAGCCTCTTTGCTGGGACATGCTGGGTGACTAGATATAGGTGGGCAAAAGACAAATGCATTGTGGCACTGCCAGCTTGGGGTGGATGGCTGCTGCTTTCCTGTCCCAAGACTGTGGGAGCATAACTGACCCTGTCTCCCAGTCTAGGGGAGGGTGGGGCGAGGGAACCCCAGGGAGCTGGGAGATACACAGTGGTCTGTGAGAACCAGTTCTGGGGAAGTGGAGGGAGGTGGACTGGCAAGTGAACCAAGGCTCCAGATCCTGACTCCCCAGCACGTGCTTTATTATCCCATTGGACTTCACTATAAAACTCAAATTCAAAAATAACATTAATAGTGACTGCAGAGCACTAAACCCCAAGTGCTGTGCCCTACTGAGCACCCAGGCCCTGTGCAAGCTAACCAGCTCATAGCACTTAGCCTGACTCGTTGAAAACACTGCTTTAGCACCAGTTTTAATGTACCCTCCATGCCAAAGACGCTGTCCTCGGCAAGAGTCACATGCACAGCATCTTGTCTATATCCCTTTTCCAAGCTGCCAGACACCTGCAGCATGGGGAGCCCTGCTCTTCCTGGACTTACTTCACAGGCCTGTTTTAGGTGTGACTTCAGGAATTATTTGCTGCTGGACAGTTCCCCTGGACAGCTCATCTGTCAAGGTAAGCAAGAGATTCCAGGTGGAGGCTTCTCAGAGGTGACAGAGCTAGGGCTTCTGCATTAGGAGTGCCTCCCTGGCCTTGATCACCATGCAGAAATGCACACATCACACATTAAAAGTAGGCACATCGCCAAAGGTATTTGCCTAAGTGTGGGTCCAGGTGCTGGTACACATTTGATTGTGGTTGGTGGCTGAGTAATGTATATGTGTGTTTGTACAGAATAATTTACCACAGAAATAAAGACACTCCCATTTGATTTCACTTATTTCTAATTTTTAAAAGGTAATATTCATATGTGCTAAAGATACAATATATATGCACATTCTTAAGTTTTGAAAGAACTGACTTTTGCCTTTGTTGATACTCTTTTATATGTTAATTTTTAAAAAACATTAAGTCTACTCATCATATTCATTTCTTTGGATATAGTCTGTTTTTTCAAATATATAACATCTTCAGATCAATGCTTAGCTCATTAGTGTTTTGAATTTAAAAAACTTTCCTCACATGAGAATTAAGATAAAATTTCCCAAATCATGACTTTGGTGCATCCTACAAGTTTTGACATATAGCATTTTGATTGTTATACAGTTCTAAGTATTTTTAACTTTTCACTATAATTTTTTGTCCCATTATTGAGAAAGCTGATTTAAAAATGTATAGGCTTTTAAAACATTATTTTATTTATTTATTTATTTATTTATTTATTTATTTATTTATTTATTTATTTATTTTGAGACAGAGTCTCACTCTGTTGCCCAGGCTGGAGTGCGGTGATGTGATCTTGGCTCACTGCAACCTCTGCCTCCTGAGTTGGAGTAACCCTCCTTCTCAGTCTCCCAAGTAGCTGGGATTACAGGTGTGTGCCATCACACCTGGCTAATTTTTGTATTGTTCGTAGAGATGGGGTTTCGCCATGTTGGCCAGGCTGGCCTTGGACTCCTGACCTCAGGTGATTCACCCACCTCAGCCTCCCAGAGTGCTGGGATTAGAGGCGTGAGCACCGTGCCCAGCCTAAAATATTGTTACTAATTTCTAACTTAGTTGCACTGTGGTCAGACAATGTGGACTGTATGACAACAGTTCTCAGAGATTTGTTGACACTTGCTTTATAAGTTAGAAGTTGCACAAGGAACACTTGTAAACACTCCACCTTAACAGTTGTTAATATCCATATGTCTAATTTTTCTGTTCAGGCTTCTGCATGTGTCTACTAAATGGTTTATTACTTATGTTTAAATCGTTTATATCATTACTAATTTTTGTCTACTTGACCTATCAATATTCAAACTAGTGTAATGAAATCTCAGATTTTGATGATGGTTCACTGACAATTTCTCCTTGTGGTTTTTCAGTTTCTCTTTTGTATATTTTAAGATTTTACGGCCCTCTTATCAATTTAAAATTGTTTTATCTTCCTCATAAATTTAACACTTTGTCGTCATGTAGTCATCCTCTTTATCCCCATGAAATGGTTTTATTTAAAAGTATATATTATCTGATATAAATATAGCTATTCTACCTTTATTTTTGATATATTTGCCCAGTATGTTTTTTTCCATCATTTTACTTTCTGCCTCTCCATTTCCTTATATTGTGGATGTGTGTCTTGAAAGCAGTTGAAGCTGGATTTTATTATTTCTTTATTTTTTGAGACAGAGTTTTGCTCTTGTCCTCAAGACTGGAGTGCAGTGGTGCAATCTTGGCTCACTGCAACCTCTGCCCCCTGGGTTCAAGTGATTCTCCTGCCTCAGCCTCCCGAGTAGCTGGGATTACACATGCCTGCCACTACGCCCGGCTAATTTCTTGTATTGTTAGTAGAGATGAAGTTTCACCATGTTGGCCAGGCTGGTCTCGAACTGCAGACCTCAGGTGATCCACCTGCCTCAGCCTCCCAAAGTGCTGGGATTATAGGCGTGAGCCACCGTGCCCGCGCAAAGCTGGATTTTATTTTGTTTTTAAAATCAAATCCATTCAATCACTGGATGTACGGCATGTTCATGTTTTTTTTTTTTTTTTTTTTTTTTTCCGTGATTACACACATATTTAAATGGACTTGATTCTGCTGTCATTGTGCCTTCTACTTGGTCTTTTTTTTTTTTTTTTGGCCTTTTTAAAGAAACTTTTTTTTTCTTGGCTTTTTATTTAAAAAAATATTTATTACATTCTTGTTTTCTATCCTATTTTACCTCACTAGATTTTTGTTAGTTAGCTAATTTCTATTTTCCTTTTTCATGTGTGCCCTTAAAATTTGTAATGCATTTTTAAGCATCTCAAGTTTTTCAATAGCCTAACTCAGCTCAAATGATACAAGCTCCTAGAATCTTTTAACTCCATTTATCTCCCTGTGACTTACATTATTAATACCCTCTTTTTTTAGTATCACCTTTCTTTCCTTAAAGTCCAAGGCTTCATTTTTTAATAATACAAGATTATTTTTGTTTGATGTCTTTTCTCATATTTAAATAAATCAAAAATATTTATTAATATTTATAGTCTTAGAACTTTTTCTGTTAAAATCACCAGGTGAAATGTTTTATTTTCATAGTGTTGTTAACAAGTCAACTTTTTTGTAATCCCAAAAGTTAGATATATTACTTAAAAATACATTTGTTTAGGCCAGGTACGGTGTCTGATGCCTGTAATCCTAATACTTTGGGAGGCTGAGGTGGGTGGATCACTTGAGGCCAGGAGTTCAAGACCAGCCTGACCAACATGGTGAAACCCCATCTATCCTGAAAAATACAAAAAAAAAATTAGCCAGGCGTGGCTAAAATTAGCCAGGCATAGTGGTGGATGCCTGTAATCCCAGTTACTCGGGAGGCTGAGGCAGGAGAATTGCTTGAACCTCAGAGGTGGAGTTTGCAGTTAGCTGAGATCATGCCACTGCACTCCAGCCTGGGCAACAGAGTGAAACTCTGTCTTACAAACAAAAACAAATTTGTTTAGATTTAACTAAATACTGACGAATTTTATCACTTACTATTGCCTCTTGCATCTCATTCCCTTCTTCTGTGGTTATTTTTTATTTTTCTTGAAGTACATACTTTAGAAGTTTTAGTAAAGGTTACTTTGTAGTAAACTATTTTTTTTAAGTCTAAATTGTCTTAAGACAGTTTTTCTAAGTTGACAAAATTTTCTTCCACTAAAGTTATTCAATAGTTTGGTGGTTTCCACTGTTACAATTGATAAATCACCTACCAGCCTAATTATAATTTATTTGTAGATGATCTGACTTTTCTTTTTGGCTGCTTTTAAGTTTTGTCTTGGTGTCCTGCATTTCCCCATACTATGTCTAACTGTTGCTTTCTATTTATCTTGCCTGTTATATCTTGTTTTTTCTTCATGTGAATTCATGTCATTCATAAGTTCTAGAATATGATCATCTCTTTATGTGTTTGAATATTGGCTCTCATTATTTCTATTTCATCTTTCTAGAATTCCAATTAGATATAGATTAGATCTTCCCATTTCATTTTGTCTCTAAAATTCTTGATCATCTCTTCATTCTATTTCAGCATTTTCTATAGTTCATTAAGCTTCTCTTCAGACACATTTATTACTGTTCAGTCTTTCACTAAGTTTTACAAGTTTTTAATTGTGAAATTCACAGAAAATTAGAATGAACAGAATCATAAATAACCTGTATATCTTTCACCTATATTCTCCAACAGTTACTATCTTGCTATTCTCTATATGTATATATGTATATAATGTACACATATATTCATTCACACACACACCCTATCCTACTTCCCTTTAGGAAAACCATCTGAAGGTAGGCTGCAGCCATCATATATGTCAGATGAAGGAGGAAGAAAAGCAAGACGAGGAGGAGGAGGAAAATAGAGAGAAGAAAGGCTGGGGGCATTCTCATTTATCAAGTAACCAAGCAGACAATACCTTCGGAAATGTCGCAGGGGCTGCCTTGGATCTGCAGGGTTAAGTCTATTGCACTTTATTTTTAAGTTTATTGGTGGGTATTTGTTGATTGCACCTAGAAGAGAAAAGCCTGTGATGAGTCTTGTATTCATGACTGTTAACATTACTGCAATCTGCTCTGTACACAAAGTGCCGCTTTACCATTTTAAATAGCCATCAAGAGAAATACCAACTAAGGTGGTCACATGAAATGAAAGCAGATTTCTCAGGGGAATCTTTAAAACCGACTTTAGAAAACACATCCCTTCTGCATTTATAGGTGAATTCAACTAACTTTTCAGTAAGATCCTCTTAGCTGCTAAAGCAGGTCAACCATTAGAGGAGATACCATGAGCCAGTTCTAATAGTCTGGCTTTTAATTGATATAAACTAACCAGAGTATTTATTTATTTGCTCCTTAGAAATATCAAAATGCAAAGGGGAAAAAAGTTTTCTTTATGGTCTTTGAATCAGTAACAACAGCGACAACAGCACTAACATCTTGGGTTCAGTTCATTAGTGGCTCATTTCATTTGGAAGTGTATTAATTTTTCATAACAATGAAGAATGCCTCTTTTTATTCCATGTAAAGATTTAAAAGCCATTTTTGATGGGAATTCTTAAAAATCTATTCTATATTTCTTTGAAGCATTAAATCAAATAGATTTGCTAAACACAACTAGATCTCTTCCTGGTCACCCAGGGTCGGGTCATGATAAGTAGCGAGTTGGTCCTGGACTGTGATCCAAAACTGTCTCCAGAGCTGCTGTTGTAGGTAGGACTGTGTGCTCTGGACTGAATGGCCTAAGACTGTGAGGCTACTGTTATTGAGCACCTGAATTTTAATTTCTTTTTATCTGTGTTAAGTATCAGATGGTTTGTCAACAGTTTTGTTTCTCTTAGAAAATGTGTTGATTGATGTGGACTGTGCTTGACAGTCAACTCTACTATAACAGTATATTTAAGTAAGAGCCACAAAGCAAGGGAGCTAGACCAGAAGACCAGTCAGTAACTAAGACTGTTTTGGTCACTCCTTGATACCCAGCATCAGAACAGTGAGTGGCTCAGAGAAGTTCCCCAGTAAATATAGGTTAATGTTGAGTGCGTTAGTGCAAGTCTGTGGGCCTGCTATGGAATTAAGCATGTAGACTTGAACATGATTATGCAAAGTCTTTCTTGACTTGTACTTTTATAGTTACATTTTAAAGATTACAGATTTATAGATCTAAGTTCCAGAAGAATGGTATATAATTTCATCACGGTTATAGTTTTCCCAAAGCACTTTATGTATCTCTCACGTACCCTAAGTACTTTTTTCTTAAAACATCTTTTTACCTTTCCTCAGTTGGTGGCAGGGGGTGGTGCTATTTATCTAATAAAATTTGGCTAATAACCCATAAAACACTACCAAGAATTTTGGGGGAGTGGGGAAGGAAATTCCATCATAAGACTTCTTCCAACTTCTTGCCAAACTCTTGATGAGAGTTTCTTTACAAGTTTATCAGTCTTGAGAGGTGTACTTTTTTTACTCTTACAGATGCCTTATGATTCTTTTCTTCAGAATGACCCCATCCCCATTTTTTTCCTTTTATCCTTAGCTTTTCTTTCTGGCTTCTATTCCAGAATACATCCACATAAATTTCATTCTGGGAGCTTATTGTTCCTATCCAAGTGTTTCTCAAACCATAATACACATATGAGTCACCTGGGGATCTTTATAATATGCAGATTCTGGCTCAGAATGACTGCGTTGGGTCCTAAGATTCTATGTTTCTAATAGGCTCCCAAGTGACACTGGTACTACTGGTCCTAGAGTCAGTTTGAATCATAGAGGATATACTATCAGCCCCAACAACAATCTCCAAGGCTTCTTTAGACCTCACCCTACACTGATTGATAAGTCTATGTCTCTACAGCTTTAACTGGGCTTGCCACGTAATATCACAGGCACATTTGAGATACAATTAGGACTTCAGTTGAGCCACACTGGGTATTCTTTTGCCTGTGTGTTCATTTTTCTGTATCTGGACTGCAAGGGATCATTTACCATGAAAACATTTGCAAATCCTACCAAGTGCTTTTCACCCTTCAGAATCATATTAGGATACAGCTTATTTTTATCCATCCTGTTGCATTCAAAATGGATTGCATATTTTCAAGGCAAACTTACTCCAAGAAATGCAACCCATGTTTCTTTTTAATGGGCACCAGTTACACTAATTACTGGCATCATAAAAAGAGCCATTAACAAGGCTAAGAAAGTTTTGCAAGGCTGTATTTTTCATTCTGACAGGTAAAATGGTATCTCCTAACACTTCAAACTCTGCCTCAGGAACTTGTGAAAGCAAAGCCAAGAACTGTTTAATTTTTCTTTGGCTCTCTTTTTTGGTGCCTTAACAGATAAAACTTTCCATCAAAGGGCAGTATGCTAAGGTTACATGGCAAGGATTTCTACTTTGTAGCTAAAGTCCAGGCTGTGACTTCACACCCCCGGACTGCACTGCTCCATGAAGACAGATGTGTGAACAGCTGCTTGTTATGCTTGCTTCTCCATAGGAACCAGAGGCATAAAAAAAAAAAATGAGCCAGAAAACTAAATGTGTAGGAACCAGAGGTTTCCTCCCTTCTACCATCTGTCATTATATATTTTCTTTTCTGACCCTGAAGTGCCCTTGAAGACAAACAAGAGGTTTCCAAGTATCCATGTTAGCTCATCAACCTTTCTTTAGTGATACCATGTATATTCTTAATGTGCAGAGAAGAACAGATTTTATGACTTACGCCTGATTGAGTTTATAAAGGTCTTCACAAACTTCACACCATAACTGTGGTCAGGTTTATGAATTCGGCCAAGCTGGACCAGGTGGTGATCCAAAGGGTGGCTAGCGAGATCCTCCAGTTCCTTGTCATCCCAAGTAGGGCCAAGGGAAAACACAAATAGGGCATACCCTTGACATTTGGCTCGCAAAGATTCCTTCTTTAAGATTTCCCCATCTAAGTGGCTGGTTTCCCCAGCAGATATCACAAATATGACTTTGTTTCTTCTCAGATTGGGTGCAGTTAAAAAGACATTGTCCAGAGTCCACTGTAAGGCATGACCAATAAAAGCATCTCCATTTAGTTGTTTAACTGACTCATCCACGTGCCTCTTCATGAGGCGCTTACTGCTATAGGTGGTGAGATTGAACTCAGCTCTAACTGGACTCTTCTGAGTGTTGGGTAGGAAGTCGGGGGGAGCATGGCTCAATAGGGCCACCCGGTCTCCAGTGACAGAAGTCTCCGGCTCTGGGGTGATTTCAAAGTGATCTAATAGTGCTCCCAGGAAAGCTCTTATGTCTTCAAATTCAGCACTTCCCACATTCCGGGAGCCATCCAGAAGGAAAGCAGCATCCATGTAAGACTGCACAGGGGGTGGTCTGGCTTGGTCACAAGAAGCGTCTGGCTTGCATACATCTGTGAACCAAAAGTCATTCTGGGTTACTAAGTAGAAATAGAAAAGGGAAGATAGCATGTCAAACATTTTGACATTTACAGACTGCATAGTCTTTGATGTTAAAAGTGACTAAATACTTTAATAGTAACAGGAAGATTGCCTTGTACATGGTTTGCATCTGTCTCCCAAAAGTACAGATTTTATATCCAGCCTGTGTCTTGGACTCCATTTACTAAAGCTATCAGACTTTTAAAGATTAGGCTGTTTTCAACAGAAGTTTAATCTTGGCTGTGTTTCAAGTTTATGTCTTTAGAAGTGGACAGTTTGTCTCGTGCATGCACGGGTATACTGTATCACAACATAACAGTGACTGATCGCTCTAGATTGACAATATTATCGCTATGCTCATATTGTTCTACTATGAAGAAGTGCTTACAAAGTAAAAGTGAAAAAAGCAATGTATCTTTTATCTCAATTTAAATAAATTTATAACTCAATGTCTACCTATGAGTGATCTTTAAGGACAAAGCTCATCTGTGCATTTCCATAGTGCTCATTAGCTGAAAACTGAATACATGTTTGTTAAATGAATATTGGATATTAATGGACTTTCCTAAATGAGGTCATTTTATAAATGTGCATATCTCATTTAATAAAAGAATGCATAATACTAAAAACAGACAGGATTTTATTGAATATGACCACAATGAATATTCAGAGGAATAAAAAAATGGAAATGGAAGGATCTTAGAGGTCATTTAATCTTGTAATTTTACAGAAGAGACTGTGGCCAGGATAGTAAAATAATTTTGCCAAAGGACATGCCAGTATTTCTAGAAGTTTCTATATAAGAAGTCAGCATTTTATTGTTAGAGATGAGGCCAGGTGGTATAGTAGTGGGGAGGTCCCTTGGCCTGAGAGCTGGAATGCTTGGGTTCTGGTCTCGTTTCAATAACAAGCTGTGTGCCCCTAGCCAAGTCACCACTGGGCCTCAGTTCAGCATAGTTCTGCAAAATTAGGTGGTAGGACCAGACTCACCTACAGACCCCTTTCAGAACTGACATTTTGTAATCCTAGGTTTTCAATACTAATTGATGGCTGAGAATGAAAATAGCCTCTTTAATAACCAAAGATAAGAAAGAAACATGGAGTAACATGAGTATGGACAGCTGGTACTAGATATATAGGCATAGGCCACGAATAAAAACTTAGATGAAAGATTAATAACCAGAGTGCTGATCCTAGGGGATGTAACAAAATTCTCACTACAGTCTTGTTCATGGACTCAATAAAGATGTGACTTTGGATAAGTTATGGTTCCCTTACTGAAATTTACTAAAATTTTATGGTCCTGTATAATGGTCAGATGATAGAACAGTCACCTGTGTGCAAAGCAGTTTCTAAAATCAGGGACAGTAGGCTGCCCATTTGCTCAGTTTTGTAGGATTTTTAATTGCAGGAAACGACAGCCAAAATCTTTTATTATACGCCTAAGAGACAAAACAAGGTTTTAAGCCAAGAAATGAAGTCAAAATCTATCCCCAGTCACACATGTGCAACTTCTGACTATGCAACATACCATCACACTGTTGTAACTGACATGTTTGAAAAGGCAACTGAGAATACATGGGGTGGAATGTACCTCCCCACAGTATGTAAAGCACTTTAACTGTTTTGAGTAAGACTGCCAGTGCCTAAACCAATTCTGTGCAGTCAAGAGAAAGGGAAAGGGAAATTTACTAGAGGGGAGTAGAGGGAAGACAGAAAGAAGAGGGGTTATTAGAGACCAGAAACCCTACTTCTCCCTCAGAATTACTACCTTCCTCATTTAGGTCATTTATATGGCAGCCTTTTTCATCTCACTGATACATGTGAAGGAGAAAAATCAAGCATTTCCTACAGGCTCAAATGGAGAGGTTTAGGGAGCAGAAGAATGAGACCTCTGTTTTTCATAAACTGCAAATGGTTTAGAGTTAGCTGCCTTGGGTTTGATATGGCTGTGAAGCCCTGAGCAAATTATTATCTCTAAGCTTTATTTTCCTCATCTGTAAAATGGAACTCATAGTAGTTCAAATGTTTTAGGGTGATTTTAAAGACTGAATGACATAATTCATTTAAAGGTATTAAAACAGTGCTTAGAATATAAACACAATCATTTAAGTATTAACTGTCATTATCACCATCATTGATATTACATGAATTAGAACAGTGCATGGCCGATAGAAAATGCTTTATATCTCTTAGCTATTATAGCCACCAATGACTCCAGTGGCTTCCACTTTGTAGTTATTAGAACACTCAAATGGAAGATTAGAGTCCAGTTTTCTAGTTAGACCTATACATTATGTATAAAACACTACAAATAAATCAACACCGCAAATCTTTCTGATGCTTAATATTTGGGAGACTTTTTTCAATGAGAAATGTATGAATTTTGCTATTTTCCACTTTGACGGAACAAAAAAAAATCCCAAACCGGGAAGAAGGGGCCGAAATGCCTTCAAACAATTTCTTTGTGGCTGTGAACATTTGAGATTTAGAAAACACATAAATATACTTTATAGCATAAAAACTTGGCAATGAAGTAGGTTAAGTTGTTCTAAGAATCATTACCGTTTCCTGTAAGCTGCACTATATAGAAAGGCCTGGAATGTAACTCTTTTGCTGGGATATATAGGGAGAGACCATGTTTGCTGAGCTGAGAGGATTCATCTGTGGAAGATGAAGTGTGACAGGGCGCATCCAGAACCCCAGAGAAGTCCTCCCCAGGCCATGAGTATCCCTGCTGCCAAGTTCCAGTTGCCCCTGCCAATGGTGACTCAACATGCTTAATAGGCCCGATCAAATTATCTTCTCTCTGTGGGTCTTACCATAGCAGAAAGTGCACCGCTGGAGTCTCTCTAATGCTGGTGTGTAGTCGGCTCCAGAGGGAACCACTATCACTTGAAATGTGCCAGTGTCGTCAATCTAAAAGAAGCAAAAGCAACAGACAGAAGAGCTTAGTGGGTAGGGCTGCAAGAACCTCTTAGGACTACATAGAGAACTGACATCTGGAGAGAGTAACAGTGCTCCTTCTAAGAAGGTGCTGGGGAGGCACAGCATGTGAGCATGGCTAAGAGCTCTGCCTGGGTTTAAACCTTGACTCTCAATTTAGCTATATGACAACTTATTTTCCATGTTTCTTCATCTGTAAAATGAGTGTACTACTACTACCTCCTAACAGGACTGTGGGCATTAAATGAGTTCACATGTGTAAAGCACTTACTGACACAGGATGGGTACAATGTGGGTAATGACCACAAAACATTTTCATATCTATTACTGCAGCAATACAGTGAGTTCTTACACTCATCATCCCAATTTTACAGATGGGGAAACTGAAGCTCAATGAAAGGTTAAAAGGACCGATCAAAAGACACTGAAGCCATTTAAGGAAGAGTATCAGAGACCTCCTCTCCCCCACCTGAGTCTCAGAGACCCATGTAAAGTCACAGGATGCCCTTTATAAACAATCTTCAGGTTTCTACTATAAACTAGGCATTGAAGCTGTCTTTGAAATACACTCAGATCTACGTCCATGCAGCTCTCTGAACAACTCCCAACCCTTTCCCAACTTGGCCCCATTGCTAGTAACCCACGTGGGGAGTTTGAGGGTAGAGAACAGGGGGAAGATAAGGAGGCTCCAAACAAGAATTATGAGCTTTGCTAATCGACCCAGAGATCATTGATAATTAAAGAAAAACTGTAGGCATGACCCTAATGCCTAAGAGATGAGTCAGATGATAATTTAGATTTTCCCTGTAAGTCTCCTGTCCTAAGCTAATGACTACTCCCTTTCTCTGGGAAGATCCCCTGCCACCATAATTAATCCACAGAGGTAGAACTTCAGCAGTTGTTTATATGGAGTAATTCAGTCTTCAACCAGAGCTGACTGGACTAGATTTGGTGTTAAAGTAAATTTGGCCTGAGGACACCTCTGTACTTTGAGTCCTCATGTAACCAACTACAACCTAACTTAGTACGTACTAACTGAAAACCTATCTTAGGAGTTATTATTATTTATTTTTTTTACAAATAGCAGAGTCTTAGCCAATCATAGCAGCTGTGCTTCAGTTAGTCACAAGTGGCCAACTGATTAGACCAGGTTCAAATGAGGCAAAGGCCAAGCTGTAATCAGTCAAGCTGTTTCTGTACTTCCATTTTCATCCATAAACACTGCCTGCCACATTGTGAAGAGCAGCTCTCTGAAACTCCTCTGGTTCTGAGGGCTGCTCGATTTGATGGCAGCGGCAGCCCACCTGGAGTGGCCACTGCCATGATGCTGGCTGCAGTCGGGCCCACTAGGCTTGTTCCACTCATTCAGCCTGGCAGACTGTGCTTGGCTCATGCTACCTGAGCGCAGTCGGGGCTGCACACTCCATGGAGCCCTGGGAGCTGGGAACAGGTGGAAGCCTCACCCGCTTCTGAGTTGGCAGGGTGAGAGCTCCTGCTTCTTGAACGCAGCTGCGGCCATCCAGCTGTGGCTCCAGACCCAGGCATCTTTGTGCTCTTGGGAGCTGGGAGTGGGCAGGGGCCCTGCCCTCCTGGGAGCAGTTGCAGCCGCCTGGCCCTAGCTGTGGGCCCACGCATTTCTGCACTCTTGGAGACCCAGGAAACCCTTGCCCCTACCAGCTCAGAACTGCCTGCTCCCGCTACCTAGCCTCTTCCTGCTCCGGCACCTGCTCTGATCTTGGAGCAAAGTTGACACTGAGCCCAGGCACTGTTGCAACCCGGCCAGGTGTGCACACACTAGGGGCAGTGCTGATATGCCAACCTCACTGCCTCAGTCCCCTCCCGAGTTTGGGTGCTAATGAGCATAAGAGGGAGGCCAAGGGGGGTGCTCAGGACAGCTTGGTGCTGGCCTGTAGGCACCCCTCAGTGCAAACAGCCTGGGCTCCAGTGGATGACAGAAGGAGACAAGCCGGCCTCTGCGTGGAAAGGGGTAGGTCCTCAGTGAAACCCCACCTTCAAGCCAGGGGTAGCCCAAAGCCTGGGGGCTGGGCTGACAGACCAAAATGGGAACTTATCATGCTTCTTCTGGCCCATCCATGGCCTCCCATGAATCAATCAGCACACACTTCCTCCCCTCTGAAACCCATAAAAACCCTGGACTCAGACAGACTCAAGGAGGCCACCAGATGACCAGCTGCAGAGAGGAGCTACCCACCCCAGGGCCTCCTCTCTGCTGAGAGACAGACACTCTTCAGGAGACCCTGCCTGCAGAGAGGAGCTACCCACTGCAGGTCTCCTCTGAGCTGCTCTGTCACTAAATAAAGCTCCTCTTCACCTTGTTCAACCTCCACTTGTCTGTGTACCTCATTCTTCCAGGATGCAGCACAAGAACTCAGGACCCACTGAATGGCGGAGCTAAAAGAGCTGTCACACAGACAGGGCTGAAACATGCCCCTTGTTCACCACATTGCGGGTGACAACAAGATGAGGAGGGGAGAGAAGAGCTGCAACCCTTTGGAGCCCAGACCTAGGAGATTGCCAAGTCAGGTCTGTGACACCCTCTCTGGGGCTCTGCAGTTCCTGGCATCTCCAAGCTTCCAGGTGCCACCGTGTCCTCCAGTGCCATCTGTGGAAGATGCTTGGGGTATACCTGGTCCAGCCACAGTCTCGTGGGGAGCTGCCCACCCTGCCATGCCACACTCACTTGCTCACACACCCCTTGCTGCTCCACGCCTGGCTTGCCCTTGGTGGGTGTGAGATTCAGGCTAGTAGCGTGAGTCAAGCACAGCCTGCCAGGGTGAATGGGTGGAACGAGCCTAGTGGGCCTGAGTAAAAACTTGGGCAAAGGCACCACTGGCCACAGAGGTTTCCAGCTGGCGAAGCAATACCCCAAGGATCCAATGACAGATTTACAAATTGCTTTTAGTGCAAATAAACTCTGCAAAATTTAACTTGCCTAAAGTTTTTAACACTTTGGTATCAAAAATGGGATCCAAACTGGACTTCCAGTGACTCCCAGGAGCACCAAGTGACCAGGTAAATATACCTGCCTGGTCCATTGTGACCACTGATCTCTCACAGCAACTGGGATCATGGGTAAGTTCTCTTTCATTCAAGCCCCACGAACTTGTGTTTTGAGCTCAAGTTTATTTGAGTAATTTTTATATTGGCTGGGTCCAAGATCAGATTGGATCTTATAATTAATAGGATTGCATCCAATTAGAGGCCTCAGATATCTGACTGGGTCAGGAAGAAGCTGGACTGGGTCCAGTAGGTTGGTAAGATTAAGGAAGACAGAGAAGAGTGGGCCCATCTGGATTCAATGAGTCTTCTATCTTGGAACCTATTCTCTTCTAGAGAAATGGGTGAACCTTACCAAAAATAAGAGTTATAATGGCCACCGTGGGAAAGATTTAACCCAAACAAAACTGCTTATCTATGAGGCACTTTGGAGGGTAAAAAGGGGATCCTGGACACCTCAGGAACAATGGGCTGTTTTATCCATTACTAGCCATTATTCTGGAGCTCGCAAGATATGCACTTTTCCCAATTACTCCTACAGAGAACATCACTACTGTAGAACAGAAGATTGGCTCTTTGAGATGTCTTTTCAGGTTGTTTTGCATTTCTAATAATAATGGCTCCACCTGAATCCACCAACCACTCCTGTGGCCCCACCCAGAATTGACTCAGAGTGTATGAGGACCATTTTCCACACCCCTATGATTGCACTTCCAACCAATCAGCAGCAAGCACCATTGCCTAACCACTGCCCACTTCCCCCAAACTATCCGTGAAAAGCCCCAGCCTCCGAATTCCCAGGGAGACTGATTTGAGTAATAATAAAACCCCAGTCTCTTGTTCAGCTGGCTCTGCATTAATTAAGCTCTTTCTCTACTGCAATTCCCCAGCATGCTAAATCAGCTCTATGTGGGCAGCAGGCAAAATGAACCTACCGGAAGGTTACACGAGCACAGGGTAAAAGCAAAGGCTACTTATCTGGACTCAGGACCAGAGGACACCTTGGCTCCAGATACTTATAATAAATTCTACTTAGGATATGTGTATGTGGGTATACCTAAGCTAACTTAAATTGGATTTTGTGATCTGTAAACAAAGTAGTCTTGACTATACACCAGGAGAAAGAGTCTGCATTATTAATAGCTATTAAGAGGTATCTCTATGCAATGTTTTAAGTGAATCATGCCTTCACTGCATCTGGATTGTGGTAAATGACTGGAAACCAAACCCAGCGTCAGTTCAGACAGCACAGCTCAGACTAGCTGGGAAGGGCCAAGAGCTTTCTTATTGCCAACTATCAGGATCCAGGGGAAAAAAAAACAATCACAGAACATTTGATCCAGAAAAAATCAGGAATCATGTCATCTATTCTCACCATTTTAAAGATGAGCCAAGTGAGCCCCAGAAGGGGTGGATTATAGAAGGCTCCAATTTAAGTTTTACTCTCCCCAAACAAGGGCTACCTTCCATCTTCTGTAAGAGCCACCTTTATGATTAGAGTTTTGTATCAGTGGGTCTCTAACTTAATTTAGAGCAGTGTTTCTCAAGACATTGCCCAAACATTGCTGCCATTTGCTAACTAGTCTTGTGTTCTACACATTCTACATGACTACAATGTGACCACTTCCCTATTTCTGGTGTTGGTCCTTGTTAGTTTAGGCTCACATTTAATCACATATCAACACACTGGTGTCAACTTAGAGCAACATCAACCTTCTCACTGATTCTAGTGAGCTGTTTTATGGTGAGAGTCCACAGAGGGTCTACACTCTCACCCGATACCTCCCCACTTCCCCCAACCTTTTCCCCCTTGACCAAGTAATCTCTCAGTCAGTAAAGTCTGGAAGATGTAGTTTTAGAGTTCATTCATCCTACCACGTATCACTCGAGTAAGTATAGTAAGCATATTACAGAAAAATTCCTTAAAGTCAATGTGAGCTAGAGATTTAAAATAAAAAGAGACCTATTATTTACGTTTCTTATTGCTCACTTCTTGTGGATTCAGAGAAGCACCAGCTTGAATGAAAGCACAGCTATTACACTCAAAGATGGGAGGTTTGGGGCATTTAGCAAACGGTTCTGAATGATACCCTACTCTTTCCTCTCTAAACATCATGGGGCATCTCTAAACATCTAAGAAACAAATACAATGAATATTATGAATAATTTTCTTTTAGACAGTTATATATAAACAAATAAAAATTCTCTTCAAAATAAAAAGGTTGGGTACTAAAATGCTTATTTTCCATTAGAAGTCTCCCCGCATTTCAACTCTGTCTGCAATCACGAGAATCATCTATAATGTCGAAGACTACACTTAATTTTCCTCTTACCAGCAATGCCACACAGCAGTGTAAAATAAAAAGCCAGGCTAGCTAAAAGACATATTTCTTATAAAAATATTGGAAAGGGAGAGTCACCCTAGATTGGAAGCCTCAATATGCAGCAAGTAAAATTTTATCAGAAGAGGCAATTGCTAAACAAATCTAAAGGCAAATTCCTAGGGACAAAACAAGCAAACAAACAAAAAACATGTTTTTTCCATTAAAAAATGGTCCTCCATTTGTGAAGGGAGGCACAACTTGCCACTCAACTTCATACTATCATGAAAAAATTCCAAGATGGTGATCACAGTCCATTTGCTAAAACACAGGGAAATCAGTACATGCTGTCAGAGTGGGTGCTTCTGAGGCCCAACACACATGGCTGCACAGGTACCAAATTTCACGCTGGACTACTTAACTCCCAGATGGATCAAGATTTAGAAAAGCCTTGGTAGGTATGAAACAAACTAGGGTTTTAAAATGTGGACCCACAATAAAAATGCATTGTGTCATGAGACTTTCAAGTTCTGTTCTTAAAAAATAATGGACAACAGTTTGAACATAGGTAAAGCACGATGGAAGAGAATGGATAAAATAAAGAAAAAGGCGGCAAACAGAGGTAGTAACGTAATTTCTCTTCTGTAATGTCAGACACTGGGTTCTAATCAAGTTGCATATATGGCTCTGTTTTGAAGCCTTCCAGACCACCCTGCTTGGTCTCATCTTCTAATGTCAAGGTGGGCCTTTTGGTTTTCCAGTTTGCTCCTGTATCCTCAGACCCTAGGACAGTACCTGGTATATAAAATGAGGCACTCACTAAACATCTGTTGGATAAAACTTGGGAGCAATTCTGACTTCATCTCTAACTCCATAGCAAGTCTGAGTTCCTGAGCTTGTTATAAAGCAACATGGTCCTTGTTGTGTTTATTATCACTGAATCTGACCTGCTGATACCTGAATGAAAAGAGGCACCTCTCCAAGAGAAACGCATCACTGGGGTTTTCTTTTACCAACCTACATCCCAGCATTAGGCATCTCACACATTAACAAACTTTTGTTCTTTCTATACCTGTTGCAAAGAACTGCTCTTTGTTGAGCTTTTTCATTCAAACATTGGTTAAATATCTAATATATGGCAGGGACCAGTAACCTAGAAGATCAGCAGATACTGTTCCTATTGCCACACACCGTACATTAGGAAAAATAAACATGAATCCGATAATCACACTTCAGTTGGGAGTGTTGGGGGCCAATGTGGCTTACATTAATGGGGGTGATTATCAAGAACTTAAACCTTCATTGGTGCTCTTTTGAGATGAACTTCTTCAAAAAAGGAGTAAAGAGTTTCTAGAAGATTTGAGTAGAATCAAGAAACCAGATTCATCAATTTCTAGGTGAGACTGAACACTCAAAAGTTTAAAACACAAAGTACATTTTCAGAAGTTAAATGTTGTGCACACACCTTTGAGTGGGTGAGCGGAATTGTGTCAGTTTAAGTTTACATCACAATTTGCATCAGGAGAGAAAGTTATCTCCTTTTATGACTAAATAAAACCAAGGGATGAGGGAATTACAAGGACTGTGTAACCAAAATCACTTATAGAATTTTGTAGCTACTGCTACTTCTCATAGCAGCTACATTTGCATAGCCCAGCCCCACCTTTTCCTACTTTATTGCATTTCCCTATCTGAACCTGATCCATCAGCCTTTCATTTGCATAATTCTAAGATTAGTTCAGTGATGCTACTATTAATAATAGCAGCTTCAACTCCTTTACAATCTAGATTTTATTATTATTAAACAAATTTTAGTTCAGGATCAAGCAACTGAATGCTAATAATTAAAGCAAAAGCTATCATTTTTTCTTTCTTTGAGACTGAGTCTCACTCTGTCACCCAGGCTGGCATGCAGTGGTGCGATCTTGGCTCACTGCAACCTCTGTCTGCTGGGTTCAAGCGATTCTCCTGCCGCAGCCTCCTGAGTAGCTGGGATTACAGGCACATGCCACCACACCCAGCTAATTTTAGTATTTTTAGGAGATGGGGTTTCACCATGTTGGCCAGGATGGTCTTGATATCTTGACCTTGTGATCTGCCCACCTCAGCCTCCCAAAGTGCTGGGATTACAGGCGTGAGCCACCGCGCCCAGCCAAAAGCTGTCATTCTTGAGTGACCCTAGGCACTAATGTAGTGTTGCATCAATTAATCTTCACACTAACTCTAGGAACCAGGTACTTTCTGCTTTCAATATTTTACAGATGAGAAATGTATTCCAACTCTGTTATGCTTATTTCAACACTTTCACGGAAAATTTAGAGCAGTGGAAAGGGCCTCAAAAGGCCACTTTTAGCTCCTAATCTAGGAAAAATAGAAGTCACCCTCCACAGGTGAGTGACCGCCCCTATAAAAGACGTGCAGAGAAAGGTAACATCTTGTTTACCGGCATTAATCCATGCCCAGTACATCAACATTGCCTTTCAAAAGTTCTCTTTTAAAACCTAAAGTTTCCTACTGCTGTCACCCTTCGTTTCTCTAATAAGAGATTTTGCAAATTTGGAATTTGGCTGGCTTATTTTCTCCAGTAATACTTTTTCATATGCTTGAAGACAATGATTGTTTCTTGTATGTCTTCTTTTCTCAAAATAAATTTTCAAATGGCTAGCCTTTTTTTTTTTTTTTTTTTTTTTTTTGAGACAGGTCTCGCTCTGTCACCCGGCTGGAGTGCAGTGGCGCGATCTGGCTCTGCTGCCCGGGTTCAAGAGATTCTCCTGTCTCAGCTCCCGAGTAGCTTGGATTACAGGTGCCTGCCATCGCGCCCGGCTAATTTTTTGTATTTTTAGTAGAGACGGGGTTTCACCAGTTAGCCAGGATGGTCTCGATCTCCTTGATCTCATGATCCACCCACCTCGTCTCCCAAGTGTTGGCATTACAGGTGTTGAGCCACGCGCCCGGCCTGCACTTTTTATTTAAGTTAAATTTTCCAGTGCCTCTTGCTGCTCCCTGGGCCCCATTCATGGGTCTCCACATGGAGAACAGAACATCGTGTGGTGCCAAGAGGGCCAACTGGAAGGACCTTTGCTGGTGCCGCAGCAGGTCCCCAGGTGATGCAAGCCCTGCAACTGAAACTATTACGGGATTATTTTAAAGTATACCTCAAGTCATCTTAATCCCAAGGTGATTTTATTTAGGAATGCAACACATTTCCCATTTTACTCCACAAGCTAAGAGGCTATAACTGGAATGGCTTTTCCTTTATAAATTGCAGGTCGTTACATAATTAGCAAAGTTATAAAATCAGCCAATTGGCTTTCATCACACAGCAACAATTACTACCCTGACTAACTGACATGTATGTTTATTGGCCTCCTGATTCAGTATCTTTAGATTCAGAGGCAACTCAAAGAGTAGCTCGGGGAAGCACTAGAACAGCAAACTTGAAGTTCTGACATTGCCATTTCTTAGCTGTGGCAACCGGGAAAAGTGGCTTAACTTCTGCATGCTCAGTTTCTCATCACCTATTTTATACACACTACTTGTGAAAATTAAACAGGTTAATGCATAGACATCATCCCATTTAATAGAAAGAGCTTAACATGTTCCCAGTACACAGTAAAACAGTACTTACTTCTACTCTGCCGATCCAGACTTTTTTAAAACTTCCTAACAAATGACGCCTGATTTTGAAGGCAAGGTAGTATAGGGGTTCTGAACACAGGCAAGATAATAAGAATTGTCGCAGTTAAAGGTTCACCCTCGTACCGCAACATGCGCGCCTGACCGAGGGGCACGTTGCTGAAAGGTGATCACCACGTGGAATGATTTCAAGTGCGCTGAACTCCATGGCAGCCGTAGTGATGGACTGGGAATCCGCAGGGACTAGCGCTGCTGAAAAATGTGGCAATTCTTCTCGTGTGCGCCCCCGGAAGCGTCGCTTGAAGATATTCCTGGAAATAAACCGCATTGCTCTGCAATCTCCCGGCTGGAAGAGGATCTCTCATAAGGAATAGCTTCAATTTCCCTGAGAAGTTGATTCTTCTTGTAGGCATCTGAGAAGCGCACGAGGTGCCTGGCGTGGGAGTTATAGGAGAGGATGGCGATGCGCGCTCCCACGGGGCAGCTGTTCTCCCGGACTTTAATGTCTTTCACCAGGAAAGCCATCATCTCCTTCATCCTCTCACAATTCCCGCTCAGTGACATCCCGGGACTGGTCCAGGGCAAACACCAACTCGGTTGGGTGCACTGGGCATTCTGGTTTTCCTAAAAGACTATCCCTTATCACATAGCGTCCTTTATTTATTTTTTTTGAAAAAAAAAAAAAAAAGACACATAGAAGGCAAAGTAATTTAAATGTTAACTATTCAAATACTTAAAAGAGAGTAAGTAATTTAAGTACTAAAACAAACGTAAAATATTATATATTTAAATCTTGAATAATTATAGATGTTATTCTAAAAGCTGAGTCTGCTCTTTTGAATCAGGCACAAAAGGAAAACATCTGGAATTCAGTTTCATTTTATAAGAAATGTTAAAGTTGATTATCAAATTCCTTCTAAACAATAAGAGAGCTCCTGGAATAACCTTCACCTACAGAGACTGGATTAAAAGTATCAAGTTTTATTGGTGAAACTTTACTCAGTTAAACATTTCTTCTTTCAGTAATAAGGAAATGTAATAAGAGTTAAAAAGGAATGGCTGTGAAAGCTCTGCTGATAATTTCAGAAAAATTTGAAGAAAACTGACATAGTTCACAGAGCAAAGCATGAGATGCAAAGAGAGTAGGCAATACAGGGTAGAGTTTGGCACCCTTGGCCCAATCACTAACCAGCCATGTGACCCTGTCCGAATTACTCATCCTGTCTGTGCCTCAGTTTCTTCATCTGTAAAATGTGAGTCATAACATCACCTGCTACATAGGTCTGAGGTGAGCATTAAATGAATCAGCACAGGTAAAGTACTTAGAATAACAGAACTTGGCACATAGTAGGTGTTCAATAAACGTCAACCATTGCTGTTACAATTATCATTCCAGACTTTTTCACTGTGAGAAATACATCACTAAAAGGAGACTGAGGAAAGCTTTAACAGATACATTTTTGTTTAACTGTTACAAATGCAAGTTGACTCAATAAATATGCCTTATTACTTAGAGAAAGTGACGATGGTTGGTAAGCTCTCCTGTAAGTGTTAACTGCATATTTACGCATCTGTACTCATTGGTTTCAATTCATTCTAATCTCAGTACCTTGTCCTTGTCACAGCTGACAACTTATTTTTGATTATCTGATTAATGTTCATTTATGCTAGTTTATGATGTATGGATAGGAACAGTATCTGCTGATCTTCTAAGTTATTAGTCCCTGCCATGTATCAGATATCTAACAAATGCTGAATGAATGAAAAAGAGCTCAAAAAAGAGCAGTTATTTGCAACAGGTATAGAAATAACGAAAGTTTAGTAACATGAGAGATGCCCAGTGCTGGAATTTGAGTGGTAAAAGGACACCTCAGTGATGTGTTTCTCTTGGAGAGGTGCCTCCTCTCATTCAGATACCAGCAAGTCAGATTCAGAGATAATAAACACAGCAAAGACCATCTTGCTTTACAAGCTCAGGACCAGACTTGCTGGGCTCACGTAGGCTGACAAGGAGACATCCCTCTGCCATGAGCCAACTGGGCCTTGCCCACCTTAGTGCTAAACTATGACCTCCTGCCATCCTTGACTCCACGTCCTTCAAAGGCAAAAAAGTACCAGTGAGAATAAATGTTCAAACCCAAATCAAACTGTTCATCTCGATGGAGACAGGAAATCATTTATTAGTCTCCAAGTCTAAATTACTGGGCTGAACAGATTTTTATAAACTGAGGTGTCACTTTTAGAGTTTAAAAAAGTAAGTAGAATTAAACATGAAAGTGGTTCTGCTGACTTTTTTGGGGGTGGTTATTTGCATATGGAAACAAAACCAACAAAAATGCTTCAGATACAACTTAGAGATAAAGGTGGGGGAAGGTTCACAGCACTGGCAGAAGACATGAAAAAAAAGTCAAGTTTTAGGGGAAAAACCTAAGGAATAATTCAGCTTCCAAAACGCAAGCCCTAAAACCCAGCAAGCTGCCAGGAGTCCCAAGGAGTCTGAAGAAGCCTAGGCTGGATTGCAGTGGTACCTAGGAGGCCCTCCTCAAGAAGGGAGGGACTGCCACATGGGGTTCCCCAACTAACATGGCTCTGTCACCACACACTATGTACTGAGGACTGCCACTTGTCACAGAGGAGGTGAAAGAAAGGACAGGGAGGCAAGGATCAGCCCAAACTACTGCCATGTAACCTAAATACAACACTGATGGTCCTTGTCCAGGTCACCATCATATTTGCCCGAATACTACAGCCCTGTCTAAACTAGGCCTTTGGCTTTGACATTTCCCACCCTTCACCCTTGCCACAATCCACTCTCCCCATAGCAGCCCAAGTAATATTTTAAAATCAGATCATGTTCCTCTCCTACGTACTTTCAACAAACTCTTTAATACCCTCCCCATCACCATTCAAATAAAATCCAGCCTCCTTATAATGTGCAAAGCTCAGCTTGCTCTGGCCTCTGCCTATTCCCCATGTTTTTATGTGCTGCTCTCCCCCTCCCTATATCTCAACCTTGTTGGGCTCTATCAGTTCCTAGGAAATGCCTAGGTCTGTTCTGTTTCATGGCCTTTGCAAAGATGGCTCCTTTGGGTTTTGTTGTTGTTGTTGTTGGTTTTTTTTTTTTTTTTTTTGAGACGGAGTCTCACACTGTCACCCGGACTGGAGTGCAGTGGCATGATCTCGGCTCACTGCAACCTCTGCCTCCCAGGTTCAAGCGATTCTCCTGCCTCAGCCTCCCAAGTAGCTGGGGTTACAGGCATGTGCCACCATGCCGCTAATTTTTTGTATTTTTAGTAGAGACAGGGTTTCACCATGTTGGCCAGGCTGGTCTCAAACTCCTGACCTCGTGATCCGCCTGCCTTGGGCTCCCAAGTGCTGGGATTACAGGTGTGAGCCACTGTGCCCAGCCAAAAGATGGCTCCTTTGTGTTCTTCAGTCTAAACTTTAATTTCACCGCCCCCAGAAAGAGCCCTCTGTCCAAAAACATCTCCCCCCTTACATTATCCCAGGACACAGCATCCTATGCTTTATCTCTTTCAAACGGCACCTAATGTGCTGGGCTTCCCTTTATTTGCTTGTGGTCTGGATCCTCCATAAGAATGGAAGTTTCTGAGCACAGGAAGCAGGTTCATTGTTCAACTCTGTATCCCTAATGCCTACTATAGATACTGGCACTTACTAGGCTTTCAACAAATATTCTTAAATGTGTGGATAAGCAATCAGAGGACATGGGTTGGTGGGCTTATTCAAAAGGTAAAAGTGTATAAATGTATAAGAGGATGATAAGTTTACACAAAAACATCATGTAAGCATTTGTAAGATATCTGAAAACTGGCACTGAAAAATATGAAGCCGACTTGATAATTAACATCAGGCATGAGTTCCATGGATTTTGGCATTATCTGAGTTGTACATTCCACTTACTTGCTATCTGATCATCCCCACTTTTATTCTGCCTTCTGCATCTTAATACCTAATTAACCACTGGATGACAGAGGTGATATGACAGAGCGAGAAAATGATGGGAGTAAGAAATACTATTTTTGGCCAGGCACGGTGGCTCACACTTGTAATCCCAGCACTTTGAGACTCCAAAGCAGGTGGATCACTTGAGCCCAGGAGTTCAGGACCAGCCTGGGCAATGTGGCAAAACCCTGCCTTTACAAAAAATACAAAAATTAGTCAAGCATGATGGCATGTGCCTGTAGTCCCAGCTACTCGGGAGGTTGAAGTGGAAGGATCACTTGAGCCCAGAAGGTCAAGGCTGCAATGAACAGTGATCAGCCTGTGTGACAGAGCAAGACCCTGTCTAAAAAAAAACCCAACATATTTATAAGACCTTTAAAAGGTGAATGGTGATGTTAGTCATTCAGATATTAACATCTTAATGATTTTTTAATTAATATTAATAAAAAACAAATTGCTTTGTTGAGAAATAGCTGTGAAGCTCAGCTAAAACTGAGTGATTTATTGGAGGCAAGACTCTGCTACCGGTATGAGGCAGTGGCAAAGAAAGCCCAGATAAAATTTGTATCATTTGGAAGCCAATACATTGCGCTAACTCATCTTTCCAGATGTATGACATTTTAGAGCTTGATTAAAGCATGCTGTAAATAAAGATTACTCACCACGTCTGCCAGCTGGGGAAGAAGAACAAAGGAGATTGGATTATTATTTGGTAGGAGAAGAGAGTTCTGTATCGTGCAGAAAAGAAAGGTTCTATCCTGTCTGCTTTTTGTCGATGACTCAAAAATCAAGGCAACAGAGTTCGGAGAAAATGCTGAGTCTCACAAAAGCACTATTCCTTCCAAAGGGAAGAGGATGTGAGAAGTGGGACAACATACAGCCATAAATCAGCGGCCTGCAGCCGGCTGTCAAAAGACAAAGAACCTTTGCCTGGGAGGGAACATGACATTGCAGGGAGGTGTGCTGAATTTGGAAAGCTGAAAGGTCCAACCTCTCTTTCCTCTAAATTTTCCCCATGTAGATATCTATAACTATCATTTACATATATATAGATACATATACACACGCATATACACAAATGTATCTATATCTATGTATAGTATATATGTATATACAGTATATGCATATTTATATGTTATGTAAATATCAGAAGTGGATTTACTCTGAATTAAATGAACACTCTTTTAGACCTGTACTGTTCAACGTGACAGCCACAAGCCATATGCAGCTACTAAAATTAATTAAATAAAAATTCAGCTTCTCAGTTGCACTAGCCACATTTGAAATGCTCAAAGTCACATGTGTCTTGTGGCTACTGAATTGGGCATCACAGGGAACACTTCCATCACTGCAGAAACTTCTATTGGACAATGCTGCTTTAGACTTCTTTCTTGCAGGGGCCCCTTGCAATGCCTTTCTTGGGAGGAACCCTAGCCATGTTGTTTGCACAATCACATACTCTTATAAAATAAAATATGCAAAAGTTAATGGTTATGATTTCTCTTTTTTGTTCTAAATAACACTTACTTTTGAAATACCTTTACACCCACTTTTAGATTTGTGATTTTGTATTGAGTCCCTTAAATTTTAAAAGATCAGGTCTCAACATACTTGGATCTGCCCTTGAGTCATTACAATTTACATAGTTCCTATGTCATAAAACCTACCGTGCTAATTGAGCCCCAAAACAACCCATCTTCATGACTAATGTATATGTGTTTTGATTCCCATCATGGTTCTACTCTGCTACAAAAAGACAGAGTTCCAATAGACACTGCATTCAACGCTTGTAAATGTCTGTCTTTGAGACCAGTGTTCTCTACAGAAATAGGCTCTAATTTACTTTTCTTCCCCCAAAATATCGAGAGGAAATTTTTGGCTCCTCCTTTCTGTCATATTGTTATTTGGAAAGTCACTACGCATTTGTAGATGAACACTGAAGACTCAACTCTCTCCTAATCTTGCACATGAAATTGTTTTTGATGGTATCAACACATATTTTGATACAACGGGCCGCTAGAAGGGTTTAAAACAAATTCAAATGAGCATTTGCCAAACCAAAATATCATTTTGATTTTAAAATTTTGAGAAAGATAAAAAAAATACTGGCAGAATGAGTATTACTATGAATTTTTAAAGCAAATCGATCAGTCCAACAAAAAATAATCAAACATATCTTTCTGGGAAAGGAATAACAAACAACAAACCAAAGTCAGGACTCCCACCCACCAGGACACCCTATTATCACAGCTGCTTCTTTCACACCAGGTGAATTCAACTGCCAGTTACTGTCAGGCGTTCATAATCATCTTTTAAAAAGTTCCATGTGACTCTCAAGTGACTGATTTCACTATTAGGTGAATTCAGACATCAAATCTCAATTTTCTTTAGATTAAAAGCACTCAATAGATTATTTCTTACTGCTTGATATGGGTTTCAATGGACATGATAGTAGCCAGAGAGGGAGTTAAAAGTCACCAGTCTATGCTGACTCAAAAATACATGCAGTGACATCTCTAATTTTAAAGAAATTGGCTGGTGAACTGTTTCAATTCTGAGTGTAGAGTTCTCTGTTCTTCTTGTATGAATGCTGACAACTTGGGTGATCATTTTAAGCAGAGTACTTACGACTGCGGTCTCGCACATACTGAATGAGCTCACATGTCTGCAGTTCAAAAATAAAACAGAAACAATTAAACAACAAACTACTAGGCCCTGAAGTTTAAAAATAAGTCAATTTAATGGAGCACCCAGAGCACTCTGTTGTAGTCGGGAGATACGTACAGAAAATGAAGCCAAGCCTTTGGCTCCTTTCACACCCTAGGAAAACAAACAAAACACTGTTTTAATAACTCTAGACATACACATCAGTAGCCAGTGTGCACCAACATCGCCCTCAGAAAGTGATAACTTTCAAAAGTTTTATTCTCATTAAATTGTTAAGAGGGAAAAAAGAATGCAGGTAGATACTCATTGCCTCATTAACAGTAACATTCTGGAAAGAACAAACTTTAAGCAGCAAGCTTGGTGCACACAAGCCTTGAGAGGCCACTTTTCTCCGGGTCCATCTCTGGATAACAAGCGTTGTCCAGAATTACAAGGATGGAGCTGACAACCTGAAACTTACCGCAGAGCTCTGGAACATGCCTACACCTCAGGACTAGCTAAAGTGAGCCATACAGGTGCAGTTGCCCTCTTTCATAGCAGAAGTTTCAAGGTCTTCAACCCCCTTTCTTTGAGCCACTGAACAGCAGCCAGAGCTGAACCTTAATCTGTTCCCATCATTGGTTAGCTGACAAAAGGATTGGACTCAACTTGAACATCTGGAAAGGTTATCTCAACTACCTTCCCAAAACTACACACACACACACACACACACACACATATATATATATATATAACTCTGTCAGAGTTTGGGATAGAAAGAACAAATGGAACTGGTTTTCATTTCATGCGTTCAATCCCATCTTCAGAAGAGAAAGAGTCTGGCTTCTTTCAAAGAGAGACACCCAAGGAAAAAAATGCAACAGAATCCCACCCGAACTCCTGAAGCAAGTAAGTTCCATGTGAATGCAGCACTGATCACAGTCACTATTTATTTCCTTTCACTTCCATTCATTCAATGATCATTTATTACATATAGAAAGACTGCACAGATACAGAATATAATTGAGAGCTACCATTTTAGTCTAAATACTTTTGATTTCCTCCTTCAATTTCCCCTCTCTCTCAAGAGATGTATTTAATCAGTATTTTTTCTCCTCTAAATATTTAATCAGTATTGTCTCACCCACAAAGGTGGGAAAATAGTGGCCAAGAAGCAGAGACAGAAGGCATGCACATTTGGACAATGAAGATTTCATGCACTGACTTTTTTTTTAGTGGAAAAGGACCTGGTGTGGTTTATAGTTTTTCTACTTACCTTACGTCCAGGAGGTCCTGGTTCCCCAGGGGATCCCATCTCTCCTGGAAGCCCAGCAGATATCTCAAAGGAGAATTTAATTATTTAAAAATTATATTTATACATGTATATATGTGTGTGTGTAAATTCAAACGTTAAAAAAAATTAAAATTCAAAGGTGAAAGTTTGAAAGTGAAAATTTCACTTTTTAGAAAATTGAGAGTTTTCCAAAAAACATAAAGAAGGAAAAAATATTCCCAGCAATCCCTTCTTCCCCAAATAATCCTCATTAACGTTTTGATGTCTTTTCTTATTTTTTTATGGTATTAAGATATATATTCTTTTTTAAAACTCATTTGAATCATATTTTCTCTGTTACCTTTTAAACTAAATTTATCTCTGGACATTTTCAGTTACTAAATATTATTTGGCAAAATCATTTTTCACAGCTGCATACTATCCCATCACATGGTTGTACATGATTTAGTTAGTCCCTTACTGTTTGTTGTTGTAATAGGCAATGCTGTTACAAAGTTATATGCATCACTCTGATTATTTCCTTAGGGAAGATTGCTAGGACTAGAATTGCTGGTCAAAGGAAAACTTTTTATCTAAATGGAGTGGTAGGTAACTAAACTGAAAAAACAAACAAAAAGCAAAATGTCTAGAAAAACAAAATTGAAATACAAAAACTTTTAAAACAACAGAAACACAACAATTAGTTGGAAATATTGTAATGAAATGGGGAATAACAGCAATAAAAATGACAGTTGTTATCTACTTACTAGATGTCAGAAATATTTTCATGTACATTCAACAATACATTTATCATAAGGCTAGGATTTAGTTTAAAAATTGGAATATTTCTTTCTTCATTCAAAATGCCACAGGATTTACAACTTTTACAGGAATAAAAAATGAAGTTTAAAATCAACTTAATTTGTAAAAGCATTACCTGTAAAACAGTAAATAATGATTGATACCTTTGGGCATTCCAATGATACTGACAGTGTGCTTGTTTGAGTGAAAAATAAAGTATTTTTATTTAGAAGATAAAGGTTAACCTCCAAGGAGAAAACAGCAGATTGAGCACATGTATTTACTTTCATTCCTTTCCAATATCTTACTAAAATGACAGTAAGTAGATTATTTTATAGGCAAAAAACAGTGGTGGGGAGAAGGAGAAAGGCGATGACAGCCATAAAATGAGTCTGGAAAGCAAATGTGTAAGTGTTAAATGACTGAATAGACCTGAGAAAGTTGAATCCTAAGCCAGCAGCAGAGAAAGCCAAGAACCAATGTGTTTTATATCAGACGTCCCAGAAGGCTGAGGATTTGGCCGCACCGGGAACCTCCAGAAGTGGAGGTGAGGGAGAGAGGTGAAGTAAAGGTGTTTAGGTGAAAATCATTTTAGGAATCCCCAAATCTCCTCTCTATTCTCAAGGATTGGGTGAATATCCCTTTTCACACCCTAGCAACAAACAGAGGTAAAACCGAGGTGGGACTCCAGGCTGAGTTGAGAACCTACAGTATCCGAAACAAAGAGAGTAAATGAGGGTATGTATAGTAAATGTGAGAGTCTCTCTTTCTCTATATGGCTCCTAGAAAGCTGGCAGCCAGACCTTTACTCTCCAGGTAGGAAATTTTAAGAAGTTTTTTCAGGAGAACTTTGCTAGACAAAGAAGAAAGACCAAAAAGTATTGATTTCAGAGGTTTGCTAAAGAAAGATTTTAGCTAGATCACTCTCTTTGGAAAACTGGTAGTTGACAAGCCCCACTCATGCTCTCAGAGCTACCAATCAGTCGCTTTTTTTTTTTTTTTCTTTTTGAGACAGGGTCTCAGTCTCACACAGGCTCGAATGCAGTGGTACAATCTCAGCTCAATACAGCCAAGACTTCCTGGGCTCAGGTGATCCTTGCACCTCAGCTTCCCTGGTAGCTGGGGCTACAGGCACATGCCACCACGTCTGGCTAATTCTTGTATTTTTTGTAGAGACAGGTTTTCGCCATGTTGCCCAGGCTGGTCTCAAACTGCTAGGCTGAAGCAATCTGCCTGCTTAGGCCTCCCAGATTACAGGGATGACAGGCGTGAGCCACCGTGCCTGACCCCAGTCAGTCTTTTTGTCTTCAATTCTTAACTATGAAGAAATAGCTCATTCCTGAAACATCTGAGTAATAGAGATCAAAACAGAAAGGAAAATAAAATGCAGGAAACAGACTATGTTGGGTAAAAAAGACAAAAATATTTATATTCTCGGAAAGGTAAGAGAAGATATTTTAATCAAGAAACAAAAAAAAGTACGCTATAAAAAGGAACATTCAGAGAACAAACACAAGCTCTTGAAAATTCAAGTATGAAACATTGTAAGAGAAACTCAACAAACTCTCCCAAAAAGTAGAGCAAAAAGACAAAAAGCTGGAGGATAGAACAGAAAAAATAAGAAAATTAAAGGACTATACTAATACACCAAATAATAGATATTTTATAAATAGGGAATAGAGAATATAGAGGGCAAGACATCATCAAAATAATTGACCAACACTTCTTTGGAGGACACACATTTCCAGGCTCCTAGTGCCTATGAAGGACCTACCTAATGCCCAGGAAAATGGATAAAAATGGACATCAACTCACAGAACCCAAGAAATATCAAAACACTGTAGACAGAGAAATTATGCAATAAGGTGCCAGAGAGAGAACACTGGCCACATAAGGAATCAGAATGGCTTTGGACTTCCCCAAGCAACAAAAGAAGCTAGAAGTAATGGAGGAATGACTGCCTTCCAAATTTCAAGAAATTAATTCCATCCCAGAACTGTATACCAGCCAAAATATCCAATCACATCCTAAGGTAGTACAAATCCCTTTCCGATGGTGGCTGTTTCCAAAACTACACCTTTCATTCACCCCTTCTTAGCAGGCTACTGGATGAGTTTTCCATGAAACAAGGGAGAAATCCAACAGGAGTCTGAGAATAAGAATGAGAAGCAGAGATCCAATGCAGAAGAGAGGCAAAGGGAAGGGTAAAGGTGAAGGACGATTGCAGTATGGCAGCTGGGCACCAGCCACAGACGAATCTCCATCAGGTGGGTCAGGTTGGAAGGCTCTGGGTCGGGATTAAGTTGGAGAGAATACTTGCCTCATCTAAATGTTTTCAGACAGGATTTAGATAAAGGGAAAATCAGGAAAGGTACATCAGCAACTTTTATAGCAGGAGGAAATCAGTTCATAATGCTTAAAATTTATAAATCTAAAAAGTAAGAATGTAAGTATGACATTTAGAGACATATTGTCAATTCTGAGACAAATCAGTTCAGAAGTAAAAGCTGTTGTTTCTGGGCAGAAGGAAATGGGAGTGAGTGAGGGAGTGAAGGATTTTTTTTTTTTTTTTTTTTAACATAACAAACTTTGTTATTTGACTCTTTAAACCAGTGGTTCTTAGGAAAGGAGAATTTTGCCTTCTTTTTTTTCCCCTGGAACATATGGCAATGTCTGAAGGTGTTTTTGATTGTCATAACCTGGGGTGTGGGGAGGACAGAGGGTAGTTGATGCTGGAACCTAGTGGGTAGGTGCCAAGGATGTGGAGAAACATTCTACAATGCACAAGACAGCCCCTCAACAAAGCCTTATCCAGCCCAAAATGTCAATAGTGCTGAGATAGAGAAACCCTGCTTTAAACTATGTGCATGTTTTTAAAGGTGGTAAAAAGAAAAACAAAATGCATACAAACATACATGTATACGCAAATAAAACAGGTTAAAAATCATGGCAAAATTTAAAAAATGTTTTTTGAGGGAAAAAAACCCAAGGTGAAGATTTAGAGAATTTAAACGAGGAGTATCATCATTCAAAGAGAACTGAAGAAGCCTTCAGAATTTAAGCTGACGTTTTAGCAAAATCTTCCAATAGAAACTTCAGCTCTTTCAGAGAGAAAACCTGGATTTTTTTCAGTGTCTAAACTTCAACTTCAAATCCAAAAACATTAATGTAAATGTGGAAAAAGTCGCTGGGTGGGTGGAAAGAGCAAGTTACAAACAGTGATAAATTGTCCAACGTGGAGAACAAAAAAAAAATTTTCAAATATTTTCAAAGGCCAACAGAAAAAGTTTGTTTCCCATTCGTTTATTGTCTTTAAAAATGATTAATGTGCCTTTGTGGGGAGGGATCCAACCATGAACTTCTTAGCGTGCTTCTGATGTTCAAGGTTAAACTTATTCATTAATAAGCCAAGGGAAATAAATGATCCAGAGATACTTCAATGCAGATGACATCTGGATTAATTTGAAAGTCTTTTCCAATTATTTTTCTAATTATATCTGTCTTCATCTTTTTTTAAGAGCATAATGTTAATGGATAGCCGTCCAAAAACATGTATGAGGACAAGCATTATAGCTGGGAAGCAGTTCTCGTGGGGGGAGGAGGGGGAGGAGGAGAAGGAGGAGGAAGAAGAGTAGGGGGAGGAGGAGGAGGAAGGGGAGAGGGAAGTGTGGGGGAAGGGGAGAGGGAAGTGTGGAAGAGGGGAGGAGGAATAGGCGGGAAGGGAGGGGAAGTGGAAGTGGAGGAAGGAAGAGGAAGGAAAGGTGAAGGATGAAGGAAGGAAGGAAGGAAGGAAGGAGGGAAGGAAGAGGAAGGGAAGGGGAAGGAGGGGAAGAGGAAGGAGGAAGGGGAGGAAGGAGGAAGGGGAGGAAGGAGGAAGGAGGGAAAGGAGGAAGGAGTTGAGAAGGGGAAGAAGAAGAGTTTCCCTTATTTTGTACCCCTAAAGCCTACACTAGTAATATCTATACATAAAGATCGTACAGCTTGTAGAAACAAAAATAGATCAGAGCAAAATGAGCTATGAAGACAAAACTAGAAAACTATTTCAAGTATATGTTTTTATCAGACTTTTAAAATTCTTGCTAATTGACATGATGAATTAAGACCAGGTTGCCTGATTAGTGCTGTTCTGAAGAAAAAAGATAATTGCTGTATCAAGAGACAATTATCTTAGGATTGTCTTTTAAAAAACTAAACAACATTCTCACTTATATACAGTCTAATATATAGGAGAGAGTCAGCAAATGCAAGAAATCCATTCTTAATCCATAGGAACCCAAGGCAAGCCTACAGGATGAATTGTACTGGAGACTTGTGTTTATTCCAAGTGACTCAAACCACTAGGCAATATCTAAGCCCCTCCACAGAATACAGACCTACTCAGTTACACAGTAAACAAACTTTCTCACAAAGCTCAAGAGATAACCTCCTTGAGCTAAATGAGAAGATGACCTTTCTGCATATATCTCACTAAAAGTAGATTTAAAAACCTGAATAGTGAAGACAAGATGCCAGTGGGCATTAGGTTGCAGTAAACCTGCCAGTGAGACAGGATTAAATTAACTACATTTTGGCAGTGCAAAAACTGTTTTGAATCACAAGGATTTCTTTTAAAAAATCGTATTACCAGTGTTAAGTACGGTACCCTGGCAGCTAGAACAGGTGAACTTGCTCACTAAAAGCAAACAGTTCATGGTTTTTGCACTGGCATTGAGAGATGAATATCCACTCCCCCTTCCCCAAGTTTGCCTTAATAGAAAAACATGCATTTTGCAAGTCATTGGTAACAAAAGACGACTCAAATTACTGTAAATGCATGAAGGAGGACTTCCCAATGTAGTGAGGTTGTCAGCAATTGGAATCTAAGAAGCTTACCGTTTTGCCTCTAGCTCCCTTCAGCCCAGTCTCTCCTGGACCACCAGGGTCCCCAATCTCACCCTAAATACATTCATTAAAGTAAAATAGTTATTAAAATCAAACATATACATATTTAATATATGTGCATCTTTAAACTGATTCTAACATGAAGACATTTTTCATACGCATTTTTAACAGTCTTCTTTGAAGGTGTGAGTATGTGTGTGTTTCCATTTGTGTAACCCTCTACATAGCACACTGCCTCAGCATTGTTTCACTTTGCTGTCTGCCCGACAAGAACACTGGTTCTTTGGAGAAATGAACTTTGTTCTTTATTTTATCCTCTGACTCTGTAATAGGACCTGGCATTTTCTGAGTTCAGTAAGGGTTTCTAGAAAAAGTGATATCTCCAAAGTAGAAGATGTCATTGCTAACTAGTTATCTAAAGATGATTTATAAACATATTGGGAAAATTGAGACAGGTGAAATCAAGTAACTTTGATTTTCTTTACATTATACTTTTAGCTTTTTGGAGACAGAGTCTTGCTCTGTCACTCAAGCTGGAGTGCAGTGGAGAGATCTCAGCTTACTACAACCTCCATCTCCTGGGTTCAAGTGATCCTCCCACCTCAGGCTCCTGAGTAGCTAGGACTACAGGCATGCACCACCATGCCCAGCTAATTTTTGTATTTTAGTAGAGACGGGGTTTTGCCATGTTGGCCAGGCTGGTCTTGAACCCCTGACCTCAAGTGATCCACCTGCCTTGGCCTCCCAAAGTGCTGGGATTACAGGCATAAGCCACCACCCCCGGCCTTACATTATACTTTTCTTTGAGTAAATAAGAAAACATATATGATAGAGGGAAGGAGTAAATTTGAGGAAAAAAAGGGATAAGTTTTCTATCTTCTCATATTAATTACAAAACTAGAAATACTTTTTAAGTCTTACACTCCTAAACAAATGCATAATCTTAAAAATTGAAAAAAATATTGGTCTATTTCCTTCTTCCCTCCTTCTCCCCACAAAGGCAGGAAATTTATTTGTCATTAGCTGTTCTTCTACTGGCCTAGGATACATTTCATAACCTCCAGAAGTATTTCTGACTGATCTCTAGTCACTAGGAAGCACACGGTACCTTAGGTCCACTTTCTCCAGGGAATCCTCCTTGTCCCTGTAATGGACAGGAGGGAAGATTAATACAGGCACACATCACTCAATGAAGTTTACATTGACTTTCATTTTACCTGCTGCCCTCTGTAGTTTTGGTACCTCTGAATTAAGGAAGGGCCAAAACAATTGCAATCTGGAAGTGAAATAGCAGTATTTGAGAAACAAACTCTATAAGTTAAAGTATTTAAAGGTTTCATCAATATATAACTACCTAGCTGCTTAAAAGCATACATCTGAAAAGTTACAACTTGGCTTTCCTTCTTTTGTAATGGCATAGGTGGTCATTTGGCCATGTGTCTCTGAGAAGATGTTAAAATGGATTTCCATGGGGAAATTTGGAAAACCTATGGAGAGTCTAAACTTGATCATTCATTTTAGGGTCCTCTGTTTACCTTACTTCATTCAAAGACTATAATTGAAGAGATTTAATAATCCCTATTGGATAAAAAAAACTATATAATTAATTTAAAATAAAGTTCATTTCCTGATTATAATAAATCCTCAAACATGTATAAAATCAAACAGTTATTAACATTCTGTACCTACTGCGTGTCTACACTGCACTAATACATTTGAGGGATGAAAGATGAATCAGATAAAGCTACTAAATCCACAGAGCTTGAGATAAATTAATACAAATGAACCCACAGAAATGAGAAGAACAAAATATTCACCAGTCACAAGAAATTCTTTCTAGAAAATGTTCAAGTTGTATACAACTGAATTAGGCCCTGACCAAGCCTGTATTTCCTGATACTGATTTCACTTTTCTTCAAGCTTTTGTTTCTGTTTTCTTAACATGATTTGCAAAACTCTTGAAATACCTCTGTTAGAAATTATTATTGTAGAAATGATTATTGTTTCTGAAAATTTAAAGAACAATAAATCCCAGACCTTGGAGGAAAAAAAAAAAAAAAAAGAAAGAAGAAAAATCACCAAAATCTTACTGCCCAGAATGATTATATACATTTTGTTGTCATTTCCTCTTAACTTTTAAAAATGCAATGTAACACAATTGGGATAAATGTTTTTTCTGAGTATATTCTAGATTTTTACTTGAAATTGTCACAAAAATTTCTTTACATAATTATAAACTTCATATACATTCATTTTATAGGGTGGCTAATGTTCCAATGCCACAGGCTACTTAATATATCCCCTCCTGTAAGATATTAAGGGATTATACTATGGAATATTAACTATTCTCTGTTCTAATGAACATTTCACTGGAAATCCCTCATTCATTAGTTTTATTTTTCAAATAGTTCTAGTTTTTGGTTCTTTATTCTTCCAGATGGCCTCTTGCATTACTCCCATTGGGATTTCACTTGGAATTATGTTCATCCTTCAATATTTGAAACTTTCCAACAAGATCTTGGAATGCCTCTCCATTTATCGAATTCTTTTTTCCGTCTCAGCAATTCACTGTCATAGGTCTCAAACATTTTGCAGACATGATATCCTTAACTGTATTATGTTTTCTGTATTTTGTAATTATGGTGGGATCTTTTTCATTCTGGCTTCTTAGTGGTAATTGTTAGTATACAGAAATCACTGGTCTTGGTAAACTTCTCTCTCAGTTCCAGCCACCTAAATATTCACTGACAATATCAAATTACTATTCTGATGTACAGTTTTATTTTTAAGTTATTGCTTGGCCCAGTACATTTAGAAAACTCCTGTACAACCTCTCACTACTGGCTAAATCAAACATAATAAGAAGAGGACTAATTTTGGAATGCTTCCCTGAGTAAACTTGAGTCTAGAGCAGCTAAGATTACATGCACTGTTCAGGCTGGAACAAGTCAGACTAGGGCCGCACATCACTGCAAAAAACCAGAAAATTTATTTTCAAGTTTCAATTGTTGCCTGCACCTTAAACCATCACATTCTTTTCTACCACATTCCTCACGGGATATCAGCAAATAAATTATCAAAATGTATTTCTAACTGTCCAAGATTGCCTTATTCCCTGCTTCCCTTTTTCTCTTACATGTGGCAAACAAAACCAGCAACAAAAAATAAATGGAAACGTCCAGCTTCCAGAAGACGTGACCTACCTTTGCTCCTTTGCGTCCAACACTACCATAACCTGGACTGCCATCATCGCCCTGTAAACAGAGCAATTGATTACCAACATCCCAGACTACAGATAGAGACAGGCTTATTCCTCAACAGGACAAGATTGCCAGTTTTTTGGTTTGATAAAGGAAAACCAGGACACAAGATTCTCCTTCTGGGGCTGGCCACCAACATTTTATGATAGCGCTACTAACAGCAATTGTTAGTAACAGATACAGACAATGCACTGTCCTTAGGTATTCCCATCTGTAAGCTGGGAATAATAATTATACCTACTCATGTGTTGTTATGAGGATTAGATGAACAAAAAATCAGGCATATAATAATCTTTCAATAAAAGGAGATAGTAGTATTACCTCTCCCTGATACCACTTGTATTTTAATACCATTTTCGCTTTGCTAGACAAAAACAAGAAGTAAATGCCCTGGTATTGGCTACTGTCTGACCCTTGTAGAAACCCTGAGCAATGGGCAAAGGATGGAATGGATTTCTGATGAAGAGGCTCTGATAAAAGGAAAGGCTGGGGAAAGGGTTATGGGATTGCTGAAGACAAGTTTTGTTCATTTTACTACTTGGCTTCAAGAGCATTCTGGTCATGATGTTTGGCACCTGGGGAATTCCACCTTGGGAAAGCTGGCCAAGAAACTAAGATGAGGACAATATCCCTCTTAATTTCTAGAAAACTATAAAACTTCATCAGGATCTATCCTTACAACTCTCTTCAGAGAACCACACCAGATATCTACTGAACTAAAAGATTCCAAGAACCAGATGAAAACTAGTGGCAAAATACAAACCTGCAAGCCACGAGGACCAGGAAAGCCAACAGCTCCTTTTTCTCCCAGATCTCCAGGTTCTCCCTGTTAAACAGAAATTGTTTTTAGGTTGGAAATTAGAATAGAAATGATGGCACTAATTCAGCTCACCTGTGTGGATCATGCACAACAATGGGTTTGTGCCTAGAACTGTGTGTTGTGCAAGTGATACAAGAGGAACTGCTGTTGGCCAGGGAGGTGTCCTCCATTGATTAGTGAAGCCTCAGCAAGCATGATTTATTGTTTAGTGCAAGTTGCCATCTTAGCAGCTCAATGCCATGAAGATGAGTCAAGAGAAAAGCTCTGTACTGTTTTAAAAAAAAAACAAAATCGTTTCCAGGATGATTCATGCAAATCGTCTGGCTCCTGCAAAGATGGCAGATTGATTAATCTAGTTTTAATATTCTAAGGGAGAATCAAGTTAACCAAGGGAGCATGATATCCTGGCAATAGTTGCTAACTTCTGACTAGTAGAACATTTACTGTGGGTTATTAATCAATCTCAGTATTATGTTGAGGGAAGTTCAGCTACATGGGAAATCAACACAGGTTTACAGAGGAAGGTTAACTTCTTTTTATAAAAAGGTAACAATTTTAATTCTGGAATAGTTTCAAATTTACAGAAATGTTGTGAACATAATACAGAAAGTTCCTATATATCCACATCAATTTGCCCCTATTTTTAACATTACATTATACTAGTTGTATTTGTAGGGTACATTTGTCACCACTGAATCAATACTGATTTATTATTATTAACTAAAGCCCATACTTTATTCAGATTTTTTCTTTTTTTTTTTTAACCTGAAATTCCTTTCCTGTTCCAGGATCCAATCCAGGATCCGCATGGTATGTCTCCTTAGGCTCCTTTAAACTGGGACAGTTTCTCCACCTTTTTGATAACCTTAACCATTTTGAGAAGTATTGGCCAGGCATTCTGTAGAATGTTCCCCATTGCTGTTTTTCTGATTAGACTGGGCTTATGGGTTTGGGGGAGGAAGATTACACAGGTAAAAGGCCATTCTCATCACATCATATTAAGGGTATATACAATCAACATGACATCACTGTTGATGTTAACCTTGATCTTCTGGTTGAGATAATCGCAGTCAAGTTTCCCTAATGCCAAGCTACTCTCCATCTCCCTCCCCTTCTATACTGTACTCTTTGCAAGATAGAGTGTGCAAGTGTGTGCAACCTACACTTAAAAGGTGGGGAATCATTAAATCTTTTTTAGGGACAGAAAAGCAACATAAGGGAAAGTGGACAAATGACCACCAGCACTGCTCTGGGGGTGGCGAAGAATAGGATTCTATGAAAGGGAAGCAGGAGATCATCTGCCTTGATGCCTTTTAGTACAGTGGTTCTCAAAGTGAGATGTGGGGACCACCTGCTGCATCCAGAGTTCATGTGTCAAGAAAATTCTTGGATCCCATTGGATTAGACTCTGGTAAGTGGAACCCAAAATATGTGCTTTTACATAAGCTTCTCAGCTGATTCACATGCACACTAAAATTTTAGAACATCTGTCTTACAGTAAGGAAACAAGGAAAGTCATATGGTTTGTCTAGGGCCGCATGGTTGGTTATTGGTAGAGACAAGTGTTGAGCCCAGAATTAACTGCTGGGTTACTTGCCTCCTGGAAATCTGAACTTACTGGAGTAAGGTAGGGGTAAGTGTTTGAGGTTTATCTCAGTGAATCATGAGTCTAGAGTGCCCACTCCACCCTAGGGCAGTACAGAGGATTTGGGTTTTCTTTGGGGCACTTGCCATCTAAATTCTTGACCCCCCTCCCCGGACCCCAAGTCTTTTGTATCAAAAATGATCTTCTAAGGCACAACTTCCCTCCTCCTGTTTATCTACTTCCCCATGGTCACCTCTATCCAACTCTAGGGTCCCTTTATCTATGTCTACCCCTGGTAAGAGAAACTTTATTTTTACCAGTGACACCACTTCCCCTAGAGCCTTCTTCAGGAGCAAGAAGGCAGCATTGTCTTTGTTTCAAACTTTGATTTCCTGATTACACGCCATATATTGCTACACTACATGCCATAGCAGTCCCTTCCTTTTGCAGTTGATTGTTCTTGTCATCCACTTATCTTGTTACATCCTCCAATTAACTGTCTCTGCAACACTCAACTGCTGGACTCCACCATATCAGCCTTGAACAATTCTTCAGTACAAAGTTAACCCCTTTTCTTATGCCCTCAAGCTTATCCTCTTTGCCAAATTTCTCTGTTAATAATCTACTCTGTCTACTCTTTCCTACGTTTTCAATCTCCTCTTTTCTCCCTGGCTTTCTCCTCTGATCATAAACATGCTAGTCTCTCCTGTCATTAAAAACAAACCAATATCCCACGTCAACCTTTCCTAGACCTTGCCAGTATAAGTAGTCTTCCTCTTCCCCTTAAAGGCCTAGGTTTTCCAAAGAGTAGTTTACAGATTTTAATCCATTTTCTCCTCACACATTTCTTGGTCCTTTGCAGTCTGTCTCCCTTTCTCTCCTCTCAATTGCTACACTTTTGAAATTGTTCTTTAGAATGTCTTAGCCACCAGATATCATGGCCTCTCCACTCCTCCCCTCTTTAACTTTTCTTCACCAGTTGATACTCTTCACCTCCCTTCTTGAACTCTACTCAAAATCTAGTGTGCTTTTTTGTTGATTTTCCTTCCTTCCTAATAATTGTCTTGTTTCCTCTTGGACTTCTTACAAAGGGGCATCACCAAGAGTTATTTTTAATCCAAATGACTCTGAAATTTACATATCCAACCATACCTAAACCCTTTCCGCTATCCCCCCAAGTGATTTTCTTTCCTCTTAAACCCACTCTTCCTAATGACTTTCCTATGTTTGTGATAGGGTTACCCCTCATACACGAAGCATCCAAGTCATCTAGCCCACTCCTCTCTGCCTCAGTCCCCTATTGGAAGAGTTCTAAGGAATCATCACAAGTTAAGTCCTCACCCTGTTAAGTCACCTAATCACTATTTGCCTTGGAGACTGTAAGAGTGTACCAACTGTTCTCCTAGCTTTCAATCTCTCAGGCTTCATAATATTTATTTGAGATGGAGTCTTGCTCTATCACCCAGGCTGGAGTGCAGTGGCAGTATCTTGACTCATTACAACCTCCACCTCCTGGGTTCAAGCAATTCTCCCTGCCTTAGCCTCCTGAGTAGCTGGGATTACAGGCATGTACCACCACACTTGGCTCATTTTTGTATTTTTAGTAGAGACGGGGTTTCACCATGTTGGCTAGGCTGGTCTGGAACTCCTGACCTCAAGTGATCTACCTGGCTCAGCTTCCTAAAGTGCTGGGATTACAGGGGTGAGCCACCATGCACGGCCTAGGCTTCATAATATTTCTACACTGAATTGCCTATTTAAAATCTTCCAAAAGTCTGGCTGTGTTCATCCACTCCATTCACAAGTTTTAGATAATACTGTGCTGGCCACTGAATAAATTCACCACAGACTTTCTTGTTGTTTTTGTCCTGCCAGACAGGATCATTTTTCATGCCTAGGTACCTCCTCTTTCAGGATTTTCCAACCTTGTGCCTTGCTTCACATGTTTTTTTCTCATTATAGTCCCCCCATTCCCTTCTCTGCTCGCCAAAATTTTTATCATCTAAGTTCTACTCAAAGTCTGTATTTTCTATGATGCCTCCTTTCCCATCCCAGAAATACTTCTAATAATGCTATTTAAACCTCCATTTTAGCCCCTTATCTCTATTTCACATCCTAGATTGTTATGAAAATATTCTTTGGGGTTGGTTTCAGGTCATACATATTATGCCACCCACGAATTCATTTATTCAATATTTACTAAGCACATATTACATGCCAAGCACTGTTCTAAGCATGGAGGGTGCAATCAATGACCAAAACAAAGATGTCTCTCCTGGAGCTGATTCTTCAGCCCAACTGAATGCTCTGGATAGTGCCTTGGTCTTAAAGGCCTTTGGTCTTAGCAAAAGTTTGTGCGAATAGAGGAAAGAAAGGAAGAAAAAAAAAAAGAGGTGGCGGGAGGAAATTAAGAGAGACTGGAAGAGAAAAACGAAGGCCTGCCCCAGAATATCCCTTGTTCCCTGAGATCCCTCAGCTCCAATAGGGTGTATCCCTCCCCTCTGAAATTACACTGAGCTGGAATCCCTGATCTCATCCAGGTCCACACCCACGCCCTTAGAGGTTGCTGGCTCTCTAAGAATCAAGCCAGGGTTTAGGGACCAGAAAATGTGTCCTCGTTTGTGTTGAAAGGGCTCTGGCTAATGTAAGAGTTCTCTTGAGCAGAAAACCTCAACCTTAGTGAGTATAAAGAATGTGACCTACTTTATTTCCTTGGCTTCCCAAATGGCCTTGATTCCCTGCCTCTCCTCCGGGTCCTGGAGGTCCCTGAAACAAAACAAGGGGATTGCAAATATAGCAAAACATAAAGCAACTTTCCTTCAAATCCTTTCTTTGTCTTATAAGAGGAAAATGAACCACAGATGAGAGAAGAGTTATGGTTGCATCGATTCTTGCTCTGAAAAAAGCATTGCCACCATCAAATAAAGACTAGTAAATAAAAGAAAATTAATAAAGTAATTCATGCCAGATGTTGTCTAAAGAATTGTGCTTCCTTGTGAGTTTTCTCTTCCAAAGTGATTTCAGGTTGTTTTGCTCTAAGAACAGATGTTGTTAAAATGCTTAACACTTAAAGAAGCCATTCCAAATGACATTTGCCTTGAACTATAATCCTTCTTGTCCTTTGGTAGAAAGGACTGGCTTTGGTAGAAAACATTTTTTGGAAGACAAAATGATCTTTACCGGAAAATCATATGATATGTATATTAGAAAGCTCAAGAAACTTTACTAAAACAGTGTTCATAAGATATGTTTAGGTAATATAAAATAAATATTCTGAAATAATTTTCTCTTTCCTAGTGATAAGTTAGAAAATAAATGTAAACAAATTCCCACTTACCAAAAGAAGAAAAAAACTGTAAAATGCTTAGAATAAATTTAACAAGAAAGACGCAAAACCTAAAGAAAGCAAGTCTTAAGATCTTATTGAAGAACACAGCAAAACTTAAACAGATGATAAAGATAACACCAATCTATATGGAAAAGCTATTAGATATAATGGAAGTAAGTCCTTCTAACATTCTAGAAAGCATATTTCATTGGAACAACTTTAGACTTAACATTTTAAAATACCAATTCAGAGATGACACAACTGCCTTCCTCTGTTATGAACACTTGGAATCAGATTTTTCCTTTGGGATAGCTAAACATATGGTAAGAGAAATCTCTTTTGGTAAAACTGTTTACAGGTATTTGTAAATAATCCCAACCCCAGTGAGCTGAAATCATTTGCACAATTTTTTTGTCATGGTTGTCGTAATTTAAAAGTAAATAAACCAACCTCTGTGTAATGAACATGATACTTGCAAATTTATTTCATTCAGAACAAAAATACAGTAACATTAATATTTTCATCTTTTAAAAAATTTAAAAAGCAATACATTGGACATAAAAAATTTCCTAATAGGAAGGATTGTTGAACAACAAACTGGTTACTAACAAAGATAATAATCTTTCCATAACACCCTATCTCTCCCCCTTCTTTCATCTTTAAAGAAAATTCTCATTATTGTCATCCTCCATAGATAGCTCTCAACCCAGTCCCTTCTAACTTTCACTGCCACCACTCCATGGAGCTAACTCCTTTGACTTTCATGTTCAGTCCAGTTGACATTTTTTTGCTCTCACCTTTTTTGAGTTTGATCATGTGTTCTTTGAAACTTTTCCCTTAACTTCTGTCACACCAAGTTACCATGGTCTTCCTGGTACCTCTCTAGGCTCCTCTCATTAACCTTTGAAGGCTCCCCCTTATTCTATTTGCCTTTTAAATTCTGTGTGCCCCAGGACTCCATCCTCTGACCTTATCTCTCTAACTTTACCCCCTCTTCCTGAATGGCACCCCTATGAATTCACATACCACTTCTACACAATGACTCCTAAATACATGCTCTCCTGTCCCAACCACTCAACTGAACACCGGAGCCATGTATTAAAAGGCTGAGTAACATAGCAAGACTCTATGCCAAAAACCAAAACAAAGCCCAAGAATTAGCCAGGCATGGTAGCACACACCTGTAATGCCAACTACTTGGGAGGCTGAGGCAGGAGGATCACTTGATCCCAGAAGTTCAAGACTGCAGTTAGCTATAATTGTGTCACTGCACTCCAGTCTGGGTGATAGAGTGAGACTCTGTCTAAAAAAATAAATAAAATTCCCATTGGACATCCTATTGAATAGAAATGGATTCTCAAAACCATCATATTTACCCTAAATCATGCTTCCAGTCTCATTTTCTTTTCATAAAGGAATAGTATCACCCTTTACTACCATTGAGACCCATGCCAGAAACCTGAGAATCATCCTAGAGCCTTCCACTACCTCACTTCTCAAAACCCCTCAGCTACAACCCACAGTAGACCCTGTCTACTTTCTGTACCCCTCCCTCTTCCATTCTCATTACTTGCCTTCAGGCCCATTTTGCACCCTGCCTAAATTCTCGGCTCTCCTAGCTGCAGCCAGGTCTTCCTCTAATCCATTCTCCACCGTTTTTAGAGAGAGATTTAAAATGTCAGGCTCATGTTACTGCTTTGTCTGAAATTCTGAATATCTTTCAGAATAAAGTTTAAGGTCTTCTTAATATGCAAAATCCCTCAAAATGTTGGAATTGCATGCCTCTGGAGCCTCATTTTCTGTGACTACTTCCATTGCTTTATGTTCAGGCACATCAAAGCAAGTGATTCATCAAATGTTTGCCTTACATCTCCACAGTCATGCAAATTTTTCCCTTAGCTGGTCCATTTTTTTCCCTCCAAGGAGAGGTACAAGCTCCCTCCTCTGAAAAAAATCCTACTTTTAGCATCACTGTTTCAGGAAGAGTACCCAAACTTACTGGCTGTGTTGGGTCTCATGCTTGTCCTCCAGATTCCTCTACTCTGTAGGTAATTGTTAGTGTATTTCTCTCTCTCATTCCTTAGAGACTAGACTGTATACTTCTTTAATGGGCACATCCTATTAATTCATATCTCTGGAGCATCATAGGCTACCTAGGACCCATCAACCCATCCATTTATCTACCCAGGAAAGATTCTCAAGAGAGATGAACTAATGTGTTTAATTAGCTGGTTTTCCATATGAAATTTTCATGCACTGTACAAAGAAGTAGAGAGATTCTAATTGTGCTGAAAAGCAAGGTATAAATTGGAAGATCTGTCTAGAAGTCTACTCTCCATTCTTCATACCGACATGAATTCTGAGACAGAGGATGATTTGGGGAGATTATTTCATGTGTAGTTACCTCAAACACACACAAGCACAGTGAGAGATATCCTGTTTTAAGAACTTTCAAAATAAAAAAAAAAGTCTTGGATGAGTAGATGGTTGGACACATACAGGAACTTGCCATTAGAGAATCAGAAAACCTGATTCTGTTTCCTATGCAGGATCTTGCAAAGTACCAAAGTGAGGTTTGTGACTTAGGTGAATAGGGCTCAAGCCTCAGTGAATGGTTACCCAGATAAATCACCTGCTCAAATACTGCTGGTTAGACAAGGAATCACACTGGTGGATTCTAAAAGAACGACAAAAAAGTTATCACCCCCAAAAAGATATCAAAGAGTGAAAGAGCTTACTTGACTTGAGATCAAGAATAACTATGGAGGGTTAAGAGAAGTTTAGGGCATTTAAAGGGGAAGGGCATTAGCTAGAGATCAAATCTTCTTTGGCTTTGTTGTAATGGCTGCCTTTTATTGAGCATTCACATTTTGTGCAAGGCACTGTGCTGAGTGGTAAATAAATACAGTCTTTAATTCTTACAACAACACAGTGAGATGCCTGTTATTAACCCCATTTACTGATCAAAAACAGTTTCTCAAGGCATTCACATCCAAATTGCTCAGTTAAGAGGATTAGATGGGAATTGAACCTAATTGTATCTGACTCTAAAGACTCAAGTCCCAGTCACTATGCCTGCTGCTCTGAGGCCCTTGTGTGGGACAGGATTCCCAAACTCTTACCATCCATGCATTAGTTCAGATTGGAGTTCTAAAAAATGTGGCTCTCCAAACTTGATGCATAAAGCTGGGGCCACATCAAACCTCCAAAAGTGGGACTTGATTGTCCCACTTTTTTTCTCATGTTGAGTTAGTTACAGAGCCCTTGGCAACCACAACTGCTTTAGTGTTAAGCAAGGATAGGAAAGAAGTGTTTAGAGGTTAATGATTTTTTGAAAATTGTGCTTAGCACCTTATCAGAAGAGACTGCACTTGGGAGTTTAGGTTTAATGGTTGGGGCACTGCCAAGGACATCCTGACTTTGGATTAGATAAGGCAGGGCAGGTAGAAGAGGTACAGGGTCTTCCCACACTTAAAAGGAATCCTTGTCACTTCTTTTTATTTGTGTGGGGGAAATGTATGAAAACTCACAATGAACAAATATCAAGGTGGAAAGAAACAAGGAGATCAAATGCTCAGCTTCTTTAAAACTTAGATATCAGCTAAGTCTGAGAAAACAAAAATCAAGAGGCCATTAAATGGTGAGCTAATGCAAGAAAAAACCCCAAAACATCTGAGATGTCAATCTTGACAGTACTAGTCCTTAACCTTAACTTCTAATACTTCTCCGTGCATTCTACACTCCAACCATATTGAGCCATTTGTGGTTCCCAAAACTCACCTTGATATCTCCGTGTAACTTGGTTCTGTCCTCCTTCTGAATGCCTGCCTTTACCGTGGTTACCCGGAAAACACCTGCTTATTCAGCAAAACCGAATACACGCATCTCGTTTAACTCCATCCTTTACCACATCATTCTACTTTGAGTATAATTCTCTTTTAACATTCAGCACATCACGTGGCAATTGTTTGTTTGTATGAGCCTCCTTTATGAGACTGGGTATACATGAGGCTGGAGTCTATACCTGATTCATTCTTGTATCCTAGAATAGGGCCCAACACACAAGCAGCACTTAGTAAATGTTTGTTAAATGAATAAAAGGAATGGCTAATGGACCACCAAACTTAGCTTATACAGAATGATGAAAGTTGTTGACTACTACAGGTTACATATTGTTATATTACTATCATGGCCTTTCCTGGAATGGTGACCTGCATTCTTTGAGCCCTAAAATACCCCCATTAAATTGGGTATATTGATACAATATAGTAGTAATAACAAACACATACAGCTTATGACTCCAGGCAATTTTCTAAGCACCTACATATATTAAATGCTTTAATTTTCACAACAATCCAATGAGGTAGCTACTATTACCATCCTTATTATTACAGCAAAAAACTGAAGCACAAAGTGGTTACATAAATTTCCCAAGGTC